TGACCACAAACTCCCAGGGAAGGCCCTCTTAGTAGCCATCCCTGACTAGGTAAGTGGAAGAGGGCCAGACCTATGCTGGGTGCTGGGAGGACGTAGCTGCCAGCACAGCTGTGGGGACATGGAGGTCAGGGCTGGCTTCCCAGAACAGACACAGCTAGCTGAAGCCAGAGGCAGTCTAGAGAACCAGGCAAGGGCATTCCAGAGAGAAAGTGCCAAGTCTAGCAGCAATTCTGGAAAGCTGCGCGGAGCTGTGGAATGAGGAAAATCCACCTGGCAACACTGTGCCGGGAGCTGACAAGGAGGCAAATGCAGGGACGCGCAGGCCTGGTGAGCATTCACCACACCCAGCAACGGAGGCCACTCACAGTTACAATGAATTCAGGTTTGGTGGATGCGCTGGACACAGGGTGAGTGGAAAAATGGAGAAAATATAAACCACGATTCAAAATGCAGACAGAAGAAAGGCAACAGGCAGTAGCCAGGCTGGAGGGGTGGTAGGAGAGTGGGTTTCGGGTTGAAGTTATTTTTCTTAGTGAATGACTTGAGCTGGTAAAGAGCTGACTGTAAGGGAGAGACTGAAGACTGAAGACAAACCAGCTGACAAATGAGGGACAGAAGAGGAGGAGGAGGAAGGGGCAGGAGTGAATGAGGACCCCACTGCTTTGGGGAGGTAAGCGGGAAAGATGCTCAAGAAAAAGATGCAGAGAAGACTGCGGGGAGGGGAGCAGGAGGCAGCGACGGTCAGGTGTGAGGGGTTTTAACAGGAGGGGAGGTGGTTTCAAACAGGCCGCAGGACTGGGAGAGGAGGCAAGGGACACAGGCTGACAACACGGAACTCAAGGATTAAGCCATACGGGTAGTCCTTTTGGTTCACATTTCCTGGGCCAGCCCCCACAAAACCTCATCTGTTCCACATCTGTAACAACTGCTCCAGGAGCACTGCAATGACTCATGACTCCTCGACACTTCGAGGCCACCTGCACTGGCCAACAATTCCACCAAGAGGATCTGTTCCAACTTAAGACTTCCCAAGCAAAGACCTTTACCTTGGATTGCTTCAGGTAACGAAGGAAACCCAATTCTTCAGGACGCAAGATGAGCAAGGCATGCCCCCTTCCGTTTAGGCCCCTGGCAGTTCTTCCCACTCGATGAATGTATTCCTTTGGTAGAGAGAGAACATCTGAGTTCACACAGCCTGACAGGCACCCGTGGCAGCCTGCATTCCCGGGACTAGTGGTGGTGGGCAGGTCAGCATTCTTTATGAGGGGGTGCCCCTCCCTGTCATTCCTTCTGCATGCCCCATCCCTAAGGAGGTAATAGGACTATGATCGAGGCCAAAGGAAAGCTGGACATGAAATTCACTTTAGCTCTATGGTCTAATAAAATGACCAGTAAGTGTGCTTCATCCTCAAAATGGCTTTTTGAAACATTTTTAAATGCCAGTTGATAATTTATATAATCTACTAGAGGCCCAGTGCATGAAAATTTGTGTACTTGGGGGGGTTGGATGTCCACCTGCCAGATGTCCACAGTCAGACATCCTTCTGGCAGCCCGGGAGCCCTCAGGGGATGTCCAACTGACAGCATAGGCAGGGAGTGGGCCTAAGCCGCAGTTGTACATCCTTAGCGCTGCTGAGGAGGCAGGAGAGGCTCCCACCGCTGCTGCTGCACTCACAGCCCTCAGCCTGGCTAGTGGCTGTGCGAAGCTCCCCTTGTGGGAGCGCGTCTGCCCCCTGGTGGTCAGTGCGCGTTATAGCGACCAGTCGTTCTGCCGTTAGGGCCAATTTGCATATTACCTTTAATTATATAGGACTGTTTATTGAAAATACTTAACAAACTTATTTTACTACATGTACTACAGTCTTATATATAAGCAAGTTTTATTTCCTTCTGAAACCTATTACTCTTAGCAAATCATTCCAAGCATATAACAGTCCTAAATTAAGTCTCACTGATGCCTTTCAAATCTCCTTACACAGCCTTTTGGGTCCTGAAAAAGTCCTAAATACTATTTCTTTCCCCTAAATTTGAGATATACTGCACAGTCATGTGCAATGAAACATGACTTGCATAACTAAGGAATAGACCTCTGACTCTGAAATGCAGTATTTCTCAGGGAACCAGGAGAACAAGTGCGCTCTTCAATGTACTGCTACCCTGAGACACCCGAGGATGCCACTTACCTTGGGGTCATCTGGAGGGTCATACTGAACAATCCAGTCGACTTCAGGAATGTCCAGCCCTCTAGCTGCCACGTCCGTGCACAACAATATCCCCGTATCCGCGTTGCAGAACTGGAAGAATGTGGTCGTACGCTTATTTTGCTTCTGCCTTCCCTAGAATCAAATAAAAACATCCGTTAGAGCTGGAAACATGAAGCTGCTGGGAGGTCCAGATGTAGAACCCCCAAACTGGAGCTGTGAACCTGCTTTACTTCAAGTTCACTCCCTGGCCTGTGTTCTGTTTTCCCAAGTAGATTGTGTCTCTTATTCCTTGTGGTTCTCATTCCTCAAAACCCAGCAAATCCCCCTCCACAGAGGACCACTCACCAATGTTGACTGACCTGGGGAGTCAGACCTCAAACCCCACAGTTTATACACCTTGATAAGCACAACCTGGTTTTTTTTGGTTGTTGTTGTTAATCCTCAACCAAGGATATTTTCCCACTGATTTTTAGAGTGGAAGACAGAGGGAAAGACAGAGAGAAACATTGATGTGAGAGAAACACATCGATTGGTTGTCTCCTGCACTAACCCCGACTAAGGCCTGGCTGGGGAGGAGCCTGCAACCGAGGTACGTGCTCTTGACTGGAATTGAACCTGGGACCCTTCGGTCCCCAGGCTGATGCTCTGAGCCAAACTGGCTAGGGCAGCACAACCTGATTTTTAATGAATTTCTCACCATCACTCACATGAATGGCCAAGACAGGCAAATCAATGTAGTTCAGCAACTCATAGTGGTATTTCACGGACATACAAGATGAGAAGAAGACCATGAGTTTCTTCTTCCGGTTCTTCTTAAGGAATGTGAAGAGCAGGAGGAATCTTTTCTCGGAAGGACAAACAACATATCCCTAGAAGTAGTTCAAATGAACAGACACAAAATAACCAAGCGGACATTTGCAGCTGCATGAGCCAATATGATGAAGACACTGCCCCCACACTGTTGTGCTTTCCCTACAGTAAAATTCCTGCCATCGTAACACAGCATCCCTACAATAAGACAAATGTAAGCTCTTTAGATTCCTTTAACAAGCTGTAACCATTGGACACTGAATTCTTTTCATTATTTCTGAGATTACTGGTTATCAACAGTTCTTGCAACCATAATATATTAATATCTCAACTAACTGGAACTCTCAAGATATATCAATGATTCATTTTTGAAAACTCTTTAATAGCAACATCTCAAATAATCACAGCTTACATAGATAGTCCAAAACAAGAGCACAAAGATGGGTGAATATATTTAAAAAACAAAACACCAATGAAAGGTTTCTAAGCTGAACTGTTACAGAAAATATTTTATTCACCAAAGACTCGATCTTCAAGTCCAATTTTTTAAAGTATTTTTTTATTGATTTCCTAGAGGGAGAGGGAGAGAGAAACATCAATGACGAGAATCACTGATCGGCTGCCTCCTGCACGCCCCCTACTGGGGATCGAGCCCACAAACTGGACACGTACCTTTGACCAGAATCGAATCTGGGACCATTTAGTCCATAGCCTGACGCTCTATCCACTGAGCCAAACTGGCTAGGGCTTCAAGTCCTATTTTTAATCAACCTAGTTTGGATCTCTGTCACCTCATTTCCAATTTTCCACAGCTATGTGCCTGAAACCAGTCTTTCCACCTTCTAACTCAGAGCAAGATCCCTAAACAACATTTTTAAATAGTGGTTAATGACGCTTCCTAAGTGGTAAGTGGGATTAAGAGATAGTAAAGAGAGCTAATTAAATTATTCAGAGTTCAGGTTACGTTATGCTAGAAGAGCCAGCGATCCAATACCCAAGTTCACTATATTTGAATTAAAAATTCAATAACCCACAGCTTTCTGGAGGATACTCCAAACAATTACAAGGAAACACACGTACCCACATTCATTAACATGTAAGGTATTGACAATAATACCTGCTCAAGACCATCCACTGTTGCATTAGTTTTATCATCATCGACACCAACATACAATGGCTCCTTTTTCAGAGAAATCCTCGCCAGGTCCTCAACTCTTCGAGTTTGGGTGGCAGAAAAGAGCATGGTCTGCCTGCGTGCTGAAACACATACACGTAAGAATAATCCGAACCTTTCAGGGAATCCGTAGAACTGCTTCACAACTACAAATGCTCCTAAGTAGGACTGTCAGGAATGGGGGATGTGGTAACACTACAGAGATTGAGGGAATATCACGAACAACTTTATGTTCATAAATTTGACAACTTAGATGAAATGGACAATTTCCTTGATTGAAAGACAAACTGCTAAAGCTCATTCAAGAAGAAATAGAAAATCTAACTAGCCTGTACCTATTAAAAAAATTGTACTTAAAATCTTCATGTAAAGAAAACTACAGCCCTAACGTCTCCAGTGGTGAGTTCTAGCAGACTTTTATGGAAGAAATATTACTGATTCTTCACTCACTCTCCAGGACACTGGGAATTTACTTCCCAGCTTATTCCTTGAAGCCAGCCATTACCCCAACATCCAAACCCAACGACTCATGAGCAGAAATGCAAAATTTCTAAACAAAACTTTAGTCAAGTGAATCCAGCAATATATGAAAAAGGACAAGGCATGGCTAAGTAGGGTTTATTCCGTGAATGCAGAGCTGGTTGCTTTAACATTGGGAAATTAACCAATACAATATACCATATTAACAGAGTAAAGGAAAAAATCTGATCATTTCAACAGATACAGAAAAAGCTTTTGACAAAACTTACCATCTATTTCTGATTTTAAAAAATCTAAGCAAACGAGGAACAAAAGGGGTCATCCTCAATCTGATAAGGGGCATTTACAGAAACCTACAGCTAAACATACTTTATGGTGGGAGACTGAATGCTTCCCCACTAACCTCAGGAACAAGACAAAGATCTTGTCTCACTACTTCTATTCTGTATTGTACCCGAGGTTCTCGCCAGTGCAATCAGGCAAGAAAAATATTAAGTGAAGAATTTACTTTTTTTATTTGTAGCTGACATGTCTGCCCATGCGGGAAATCCAGGCTAGTTTCATCTGAAGGTTCATGCTGAACAATCCAGACGAACATAGAAATAATTACTTGCCAGACATAAAATGGATATACAAAAATCAACCGTATATGTACATACAATAAACAATTTGAAATAGAAATTTTAATGAAGTACTTAGAAATTAAGGAGCTAATAAATGGAGACATAACTTATTCATAGGTTGAACTGACTCAATATTGCCTTTCACCAATGCTCTATCCTATGTAATAAAAGGGTAATATGCAAACTGTCCCCACAGGCGGGAGTTTGACCAACCGGGAGTTAGATGTGCACTGACCACTGGGGGCGGTGCGGAACATGGCAGGGGCGGCAGGCGGCCGGGGAAGAGAGGCCCTGGACAGCAGCTGCTAGGGACCCTACCCGTGCACGAATTTC